ATAAATAAAAGAAAAACATTTTTGTTTTACTTAAAAAGATCATGTTGATTGGAATGCAAAGCAGATGAGCAAAGAAGGGCATAACACAACTCAAAATATTGAATATAACTCACCGATAGAGACATAAAACAACGCCATACATTTGTCAAAAATAAACATTTGCCAACGAAAAAAAAACAATTCACGACTTAGTCTACCTATTTTCTGTGTTATCACAGAAAAATGAGACAAATATATTCTCTATTAATTAGAAGTAAACCTGACCTCTTTTTGAAATGAAACATATAGAAAGGGTATTCTATTAGTAAAATAGCGCAACGTTAAAAAAATTTCCTTGTCAAATTAGTGGACTTTATCTGTCAGACGTATTATAAAAAGATCTTAAAATAAATCTAATTCTACACACAAACATTCCTCTTTGCTCAATAGAATGGTTGTTTTTGACAAATATAGTCCAGTACTTTACTCTCTCATTCTAATTATAGCACCACAGAAAAACGTTTATAAAAATATTGTGTTACATCTAGTAATAAATAGCATTTTCTGATAAAAAAGAGTAAAATCTGATAGATGTGTATGTGTATGTATGTAAGAAAAATGAATTTAAATTGATTTGTGGTTGGGTATCACCAATCGGTAACATAATCGAAACCAACAAAATTTGATTGATCTTGTTCTCGAATTGGTCGTGGATCTTTGGCTGGTGTTAATATGGGTTCTTCACTTGTAAACTCAGAATCAAAATTACTGACGTCATCGGCACTATGCTAAAAATATAAATAAAAAATTTGTTTACGTTCAGATCTATTTGTCCGAGATACGTGTGATCAGCTCCATTAACGCGAAAACGAGATATAACAATGCGTCCAAAATAAGTGTAAAAAGCTAAAGAGTTATTTTTCCGTACTCTTTAACCATATTTTCAATTAATATTCATAGAATTGACAATTTCAAGATTAATTAATTACCATTTCTGTATAATCAATTATCCTTAACTAATAACACTACTTTAAACAAAATAAAAGGAGAAAGTGGATCATTCGATAGAGAAAATAACAGTCAAGATGTAAAGAGTTCGAAAAGACTCAGTCATGAGAGATAAAAGTTTTAGTCTGTGAACGTATAAAAGTTCATTCTGGGCAAGATCCATTAAAAATGGCTACAAGTAGGACAATATTTTAGTTGTAAAAGATGTGTTACGATCATCAAGAACATTATTCATGTCAATAAGAGAGACCGCGAAGAATATTGCACAAACGGGAAATCAATTTATTCTGCAATATAGATAGTAAGATATATTTATGACTTTTCCTTGAGACATCTCCTAGACAATCTAATAGTAATGCTAATCTACAAATCCCTTTTACGCTTGTTTCTTAACTTTATTGTAGTAAAAGAAATTAAATATGTCTCTTGATTCTTGAACAGTCAGAGTTAGTCATTTTCAGTAGTTATATGACAAAATTATAAACACATCCTACCACTATGGGAACAAATGGAGGTTTTGTCGTCTTTGATAACAGATCTTCCCAACTGATTTGCTAAAAACACACAAAAAAAAAGATATTAATATACATTTCTGATCAGTGTAATATCATCTACATATATCAGCTGGACGTGAAACGGTTCATTGTAAAGAAAAAAAATCTAACGACTGAAAATTAAATCTTGGAATTCACTAGGAAGAAACATCCATGATCCCCAATTATTTTGAAGGGATTTACTATAGTATATTTATATACGTGAGTTGCGGACTCGACAATATCCGATCATTCTTTTCAAAATTACTCATGTCATAGCCGAATGTATCAAGCACAATGAGAGTATGTTCATCTTTCGTACCTTAAAAAATGATTGTCGTTTGACATCTTCGGCATCTCTTTCACTCGCTCCAAGTCGATGATTGACATTTTTTCTTAATAACTAAAATATAAATAAAAATATATACTTTTAACATTTATCCCACTCAAATCTTTGTATCATACTCTTTTCATAATTGTGATTGCTTCAACTGATAAAAATTTTGGATATTTGACTTCGTCGTTGACAATACTATCAAACACTTCCTCTTCGTCATCGCCAGGAAACGGAGATTCACCAACAAGCATTTCGTAAATAAGAACACCTATTGATAGATACACGGTGATAAATATATATAATAATTATCAATGCAGAGAAAAACCTACCCAAACCCCACCAATCAACAGCTCGTGTATAAGAGGATTCGGTTAACACTTCTGGGGCTAAAAACTATAGGGCAAAAAGAAAAAGAAATTATTTTAAGAAATAACTTTGGATACCATTACCTCTGGTGTGCCACAAAATGTACTTGTTTTTTCACCGTAGCCAATGCCTTCTTTACATAAACCAAAACTAAATATAGGATAAAAAATAGAATCTTTTCTTCTTCTTCTTTAAATTATAATTGACTATTTCTTTGAAATTAACAAATCACTTACTCAGCAATTTTGAGATAACCTTCTTTATCCAATAATAAATTGTCTAATTTTAAATCTCTATACACAATTTTATTTTGATGTAAAAAATCTAAACCTAATACGACACAAGCCGCATAAAAACACGATCGTTGTTCATCGAATACATCTTGATGAATATGCATCATTAAATCACCACCATAAGCATATTCCATAACAAATATAACATGATCACGTGTTTGAAAACATGAATACAAATTAATTAAAAATGGATGACGAGAACGATTAATAACTTCAAATATACGTTTTTCCGACATTAAACTTTCAACTTCATCACGTGCTAATATGTCACCTTTTTTCAATACTTTCAACGCATAATAATCACCTTTACGAGATACATATTCAGCTAATATCACCTTTAAAAAAAAACAATAAACTTTGAGCTGAATGCTATCATTTCTCTTTATTTGAATGTTAGTAATTGAACATAGTACTCACTTTTCCAAAATGACCTCTCCCGAGCACACTAACAAGTCGAAATGCGTCAATAACAACACCTTTTGGAAATCTAGACAGAATAAAACAAAAACACAACAATAATTAATTAGAAAAAACGTATGAATCTACAAGAAAGAAGTCGGTAATATATGAGCAGAAAGATTATTCAAAAAAACAATTTCACCTTTTGTCTGTAGATAATGATTTTTTTCTTCCATTTGTCGTTCTATCTAAACTATTAGAATGTTTCAAAATTGGTTGCACTGCTTGTGGTCGTTGTTTATCCTCTACAGTTTGTTGATTTAAGGAGTCGGCCAATTTCATAATGGTTGACTGTGGCTGCTGCTGATTAGAAGGTGGCTGTTGTTGTGGAAGACGATCGGTTGACGATAATAGAATCATCGATGATGAGCGATTAAATGGAGACGACGCTGACGATGGCTGGCGTTGGATAACATAGTTTTGTTCAGAGGATGGTAGTTGTGGTTGGATCATGTAGTTCTCAACTGATTGAGAATGACGAACATCACCTAAGTGAACACGATCCACATTGGATAGAGGATGATATATTGGAGGCGGAGGTTGATTTGATGACGTAGTACGAAGCCACGATGGTTTAGGAGCGACAGGTGGAGGAACGTTACCGCGACTCGATGTTGACGACGTAGGTTGTAACACTTGTTTATTTTGAGACGATAAACCATTGTTAACAGGTGTAAAAGACTAAAATAAATCACATTATTAAGAGAAATCTTTGAAAGATCATTAATAATCATAATTAATAATAAGAATAAGAAATAACATTATTTAATATGATATTTTATCTTATATAACTGATGAAAATGATCCATGTAAGAAAACTTCATTGAAACTTAATAAATGAAATACCTCTTGTGGATAAGGAACTGTTTTTACTTCTTTCGTTGTATGTATTCTTCGTACGTAGGGTGCAACCACAGATGATTGATCCTTAATAGACAAAAATAAAAATTACAATCATGCTCGTCGGTTAACGGTCAATTTATGACGAAAACAAATATTTATTAAAATATTCGATCATTCAAACCTCGTCTAGTTGCGAATTTTGATTAGTTGATGCTATGTAAATGGAAGAATTTGGTGATAAACTTGTTGCTGTATCATTTCTTTGATCGTATAACTCATAGGCAGCTAGAAAAAACAAAATCAAATTACTTCAACAACATAAGTAAACACGCATTTTCCATATCGAGCGAAGAACATTTCTAGTATGCTCATTTTGTCATATAATGTAAATACTAAGAATTAAAAATAATTTCCGTTGTTTACAATAGGGTAGTATCGTTAAACAGACAGCAGAAAAATGTTTGACTAATTAGATGATAATTCTTTGTTTACATTATTTTCAATCAAAAAATATTCCGCCTTTTATAAACATACAATGTGATGGACTGTTTGGTGACACCGTTGAATTTGCATCATAACAATTTGGTGTTATTACTCCCTTTGTTATCAATCTGTACCACAATGTGACGTCAATACGCATATGACTTGGACGAGGTAAATTTCGTCCTAAAACCAGCACATAATATGATAGACATACTGTTTAAAATATACTCCAGTTTTCAATACCTTTCCGCTTCGTGAATAGTTTCTTTTGTCGTTTCAGTTTTGGTGCTGGTTTAACTAAGGGATTGATGAATTTGATCTAAACGTAAAATATAATGCACCAATCAGTCTATGTAGTTCGATTTTTAAATTTGAGCATGATAATTTGTTTATCATACAAAACTTTGTTTTATAGATGTTATTATAAACTCGTACGCTAATATAATTAGATGAACTTCAATAAATGGACGTATATTTTGGAATTGTCACAATAATGTCATACGCATTCCCCTTTCGAATTTTACTAAAAGAAACTTACATCTGCAAATAGTACTCCTTGAGGTTCGAGATGAATAATCATTCCACTAATATCATTTTGATTTATAAAATCTTCTAAACGTAAAAAACGAATCGCACACATATTGCGATAATCACGCCAGACTATATTGATTTCTAATTCCCGAGCCTAAAAAATATATACATAGAGTCAATGAAAATAATATTTTCGTTGCGATAATGAGTCAAGAATATCTTACTCGATCTAAATCAATTGTGAAACGTTGATCCCATGCTTGCTGACTACAAGGTTTATAGCCAGTTTCAACAACACGAACATTATCCAAACGTAATATGGCATTTATTTCATCTAAATATACAACAAACAAATTATAATGTAATGAAGATCAAATTGACAATATAAGCCACTGATTTATACACTAATACAACTAAACGCAAATTCTCCAAACGTTAAAAATTATAAATTATAAATTATTTCTTGTCAATTGTGCATAATTTCTTTTTAAACTGTGTGACTACACAATAGGTCAACAGACAACAATACTTTCTTGGATACGAAAGAGCTGTTTCTTCTATTGTGAATAAGTTAGTTTAAATGGACAAAGTTATTTTTTTGTGAGACACTACAAAGATTGAAGACGAGACAATAGAATAATATCATGAACAAGATGGACTGACGTTCTAGGGCTATACTACAATATCTTTTTTTTCTCAAAAACGAAAAGCAACTATAGAAAGCAAAAAATACTGATACCAAATTATCCACCAAACAAGCCTAGAAAGCGCTTATCCTTCAAAAACTTATAGGCCTTAGACAATAACATAAAAATAATAATTAACGTAAAACACCGATGTTTTATGTGTACTTTTATGTGTGTGCATGAAATAAAAAACAACGTTTGAATCAGGCACACACAAAAAGATCAACTTACTAAGTTTTACTTGTTTGAAACTACGAAAACGTTGTGACGAACGTTTTGAACAAGATGAAAGGGTTCCTTTAACACACATCCGAGAGATGAAGTGTTTGAATAATCTATTTTTTACTTACTTGATAACTCATTTTTTCCTGGTATTAGTTTGACTGTACGATATTTGTTATCTGGACTACCAAAACTATCACGTTTACTAACAGCCGGTGATAATGCATCTTCAAATAAATCTTGACATCCTAGTAGTCTAAATAGGCAAAAATGAAACGTTGAATAGTGATTTGAAAACAGGCCTACATTGTGCAACATCGTATAGTAGTTTCAGATGATGATCGTTTTCTTCAACAGCATCCTTACTATCAGAGGTAAAATGTCCGTTCCTACTGTACTTACCGAACTTCTAATTTTCCTGTGACAGGTGCTGGTTTTGGTAATGAACCGATATAAGATGCGGATGGATCCCCAGAAATATTTTCATTTATTGCCGCTGATTGTCTTCGTTGATGGTCATTTTGATCTTGAAGTTTCAGTCTTCGTCGTAATGATTCTTCTAGTAATGCTATACGTTGTTTGCTTTCAAATAGTGTATGATGTGCCTAAAACAGGGAAGATGAGCTAGAGTAAGTACAGAACAATGAATACAATGAAATAAAATCAATTTCTTCACGATTTATACTTCGAGTAATGCTTCTTTTCTTGCACCAGTTTGCTTCAACGCCTTGACAGCATTCTCTGCTCCTTTCTTCATCGTTTGTTCAATTGATAAATGATGCTGAATTTCTTCAACGTGTTGCTCGGGAGGCCATAATGCTGACGACTTTCGAGCTAAATAAGCAGAAACAAATTATTTTAACAGTGTTCTCATATTCAAATGTCCTGTTATTTCATTCATATAAACTAATCTTACGATTGCTAACTTTAGTAAAACTCTTTTTTACAACTTACTTATGTCATCTGAATTATTAGTCGCTAATGATCCCGATTCTAATCGTTTTATTTGTAATCGTATGTACTCAGCTTTGGCTTTTGCATCTTTCAAAAGTATTTGAGCTTCGTCGCACATTTTGCGTGAAGATTCTTTACGTTGACCATTATAAGTATTTAACAACGTTTCAGCACCGGCTTTCACCTAGAGATTTTTCCAGTTTAAGATTACAAAATTTTTGAAGATTAAAAAAGAAATATTTCTACTTTAAGTTCAATCTCGAGTTGTTTCTTGAGCCAATTAATTCTTTGTTGGGTTGGATTCTCTTCATGATCACCACGACTAGATATGTCGGTTGAATCCTTTTGAGATTCTAAAAGACAAAAAAAATATTCTACAATAATTAAGAAAAAAACTTGTAATCAATTTAACGAAGGATGAAAGACTCGAGCAAAAACGACGCATTTTGCATAATCATCTTTGGCTATTGAGCAAGTGCCGTGAAAGTCATTTACCCGATTCTAATCGTTTCATTTGTAATCTTATATGATCGGCTTTAGCTTTCGCATCTTTTAATAATATTTGAGCTTCATCACACATCTTCTTATATGTTTCCTTTCTTTGGCCATTGTAAGTATTCAAAATTGTTTCGGCACCCGCTTTTACCTGAAAAGAGATAATCAGAAGAAAACGTAATATGCATGTTACAAATCTTCTGAAACTGTCGTACTTTGAGTTCAATCTCTAGTTGTTTTTTGAGCCAATTCATACGTTGTTGTTGTGTCTGTTCTTCTTCGTTGTTGTCGCCCCTGCTACTATTTGAGAATTCGTTCGTTGATTGTTGTCGCTGATCTAAAATAAAATGAATATTGTTATTTAAGTTACTTCAACCCAAATCAAGATCAGAAATTACCTTCATAATGTTCATTCGAATAATTACTCATCGTTGCACATTCCATAGAGATAGAAGATAAATTTATTAGAAAAAATACTAATTATTATTTATATCCATTTTGAGCAAATACTCATTCAAAAAAGCTGAAATAATCAAAGAGTTAGTTAGTTAGTTTTCCGTATAATGACGTAAATTTCTACTGTCGAAAAAGGTCTCGATATCGAGAAGTTTCTAAAACATCATAGACAATATTGAAATAAAAAAAGAGCATTAAGCTAAAGCTATTTTTATATAGTAGAACTAAAAAATTTGCATTGACAGAATAGCAGTTGTAACTGTATACTTCACAATCTTAACTCCAATATTATTCAACAGAGAGAATACATATAACAGGCACAATCACTCTATTAGAACTCGTTACAGATAATTCTCTCGACAGTTGGTATGCAAGCACGTGAAAATCACGTACTTATTCCGTGTACTTTTCTTGGATTTTAGTTGAACAACTAAACCTGAACGAAGTTTTAAAATTAAATAAAATTTAAATGGAATTTCATTTTCTGCACAAACGTGGTGTCACCAGTACTGTCGACTGGTAAGTATCACGGCAATTCTATCAGAGCGCATAAAAACCAATTCAGACAATGAAATCCCATTTAATTCTTGTTTAATCTTTAAAACTTCAGCCAATGACGCTGTTTCACCAAAAATTCAAAAGTTGTAAGGAACTCTATCGATACTTTGATGCATTATCGTGGTCGGCGCTCATACCACATAGGAAAGATCACTAAAATCTACTCAAGAATACTTTAATTCAAATTTTACTGGACCCCTCATGTATCCATTTTGATTTTAAATTTTAAAAGTTAAATAATGTTATAAATGTTGTGGTCGAGTACATTGGTCTATACGAAGGCCAATACATGGTTAGATCATAGACTCTTTCACTGTTACAATTTTTTCACCAAACTGGTGAATTTATACTTCAAACGGCATGAGATTTAAGATTGAGCGAATGATTGTTGACTTCATCAAATATCGAAAAAACGATCAATTTGCATTGGTCTACCATATTCTGTTATAGTTTGACTGATTCACAACGACCTCATGTTTTGTATGTCGTTAAGGATGAATTATACTATCACTACGAAAATAAAAAATTCTGATGTAAAAGTGGAAATATCTGAACACAGTGTTAGAATAGATGACTGAGATATACTCTAAAGTTGACAATGTGAACTTATTCTCACAACCCTTAATACATCCAGCTTCGCGCATCCGGGTCAAGAACAACTAACATGTAATAGGACACAAATGATGCGTTAACGAAATGGCTAACAGCAGGTTTCAGGCTTTTAATTGTGAAAAAATGGTTAGTTAACAGGCATCATTTGTTGTCCTGCATCTGATCTTTAATGATCGCCTAAAAAGAAGCAATTAATTGTGTGTTAGTGAAGCTCAAATTTAGATAACCATTAAATGGCATTTTATTGTCCTTTGTATGACCGTTATATAAACACACACAAAAAAACCGGACATTTAACGTTTACCGTTTAATTCGTCCTTTTGTTTCGCTGACCTCTCTACTGTATATCTCACGTTGTTTTCTCACAGAAAACGTAGAGTTTTATTCTTCCTCGACTATAAAAGTCATCGAAACTTATGTTGAGGAAATAGCTACTGGTTCTATGTATGGTGCCAGTGATGGCACCCATCATACTAGGGAACCGAAAATACTTAAAAATTTGACAAAGCATTTATTTTATGGCAGTAGTTAAAAAGAAATTAGTCATAATCAACAGGCGGATCCTTGGACATAAACAACCAATAATTACGTAGAAACGGCCATTAAAGGATCACTATTAAATGCTTCTTTTCAGTGTGTTCCTTGGCTATTAAAAAGATACCACTTTTAGGCATTAATACGTTCCCAGTTAGAATGCCGAAAACCGTTCACAAAACGGTGTTAACTAGCTGAAAAATGTCATTTAATACACATTTTGTGGGCTAGTAACAGACATTTAATATGCAATAAATTACACCGTTTTCAACGTCCGGGGTATAAATTTCTCCACTGATCTATAACAGGTTCTGCGAGCTCTAAATTTTTTATTATATTGTATTATTTCTTCAACTATTTGAAATGAATGGCCATATTAAGTGTTTCTGTTGATCTAATCGATATTTTTTGACAAAGGTGTTTTATTTTTACTTGTAAATACACACACACAAACGGACAAGAAAAAAGAACTACTGACGATTAATTTTAATAATAAAAACATGATACGGTTATATTGTTTTTAAATTCCATCTGTCTAGTAGTGTGCGTGTATTCATATATGAGAGGCTTTTTTCTTTATGTAATCTAAGTTTCAAAAAAAACGATAAACTGTCTATAAAGTAAAGAAAATTATAAAATAAAATTCTAATAATGAATGTATTGTCTCTATTGTCTTAGATCATCTAAATGTAATAAAGTTTTCAAATTTCCAATAGCGGCCATTGTTAGTTTACTTTGAGATAATTTTTTTGTAAATTGATTTATTTGGTCTACTTTAATTTGCTGAATTTCATTTGTTATTGTTTCCAAATCACTAGTTTTATCACAATGTTCGGGGTTCAATATCATAGATTCTAACAAATAATCACTTGATTCCATTTTCATATTTGTACTCACTTGCAATTTTTTCCTAGAAAAGTAATGTTTACATGTTAGTGATGAACAGTAGATTCGTGAATTTATTTAAAACAAAGAATTTCTTCTTAACTATACACGTGAATACGTCATTCATTGAGTAACTTAAATTAACTTTACCTTCATAAAATTATTCACTAAAAATTAATCCTTACCTAGCTATTTTCAATTCTTCTTCATTGAGACCACTTTTAGCGAACTTCTGAAATTCACTCCATACAGATTTTACAACCTAAGAAAAGAAAAATATCAGTATATAACTACTTTTTTAAAAAAAATATAAGAAAATGCATAGATAAATGTGCAGCATTGCAATATCTTCGACTGCATTTGAAATCTGTACTATACCAACATACCTTTCCTGCATCATTTTTATGACATATAATATGAACACCAAACAATCCCGTATCGGTATAATGAAGATTAAATGATGAAACCTAAACGAGACAAAGAAATACATTTTAGTATATAGCAAGATTAGAATATATTGCAGATGTTCTCATTCAGTCATGTTGAGAAAAATAATCTGTCAGTTGACAACAATGACTATTTGAGAAATATGAATACCACTGATACGAATACATCGACGTGTGCTCCGCTAAACGATCTCTTATCTTCTGTATGGTGAGAAAAAACAATTGTATAAAACTTACAACGCATGTATTATCTGCAACAGCACTGGCTGCTTTCTGTAATCTCGACGCTCCAGCTGACCATTTAATATGTGGTCCGTCACCTAAGACCTGTCCGATTAATTCACTAGATAATAGATTTTTGTCTGACCAACTAGAATCAAAAAATTTCATAGATGTAGCATGCAGTAGTGTACTGAAGAAAAGCTGGTAAGGCGATGGTGGGAGTATTTTTAAACTATAATTTTGATTTTATACGATAATCTATGAGACGTAAAAACCAAATTGGATACATTCATTTTCTTGTGACAGGCTGGGAATGGTATGAAATTTAGGTAGATATCGTACCTGACTCCTTCACATGCAAGTGCAATATGCACAGTACTTGATGGTCTATCAGCCCGAATTTCTCCTAAAAGCACAAAAAAAAGTAACATCCGTAAGATACTATCCATTGAAACTGGCTGAATTATAGATATACGCATATATATCTAGACAGATAACCAAATAAAAGCAGCTTGTACGGACAAGTACATAAAGCACAAAGGAAATGTAATCAAACGTCATTTGTATAAATAATATGCAAGAACGAAGTAAGAAGACTATAAAAATTTATATAAGTTGATAGGCATACTACGATGCTTAAATCATACCTCCTTTATATTTAACTGGTTCTGGTTCATCTTCAATTGGAGCTAAATTGCCAAATCCCGGTGTACTCTTAAGTTGTTCTTGTGAAAATTTAAATTTTTCAGCCAATTGGGCAAGCACATTATGATTTAAACCCATTCCAACTAATGATACACGATCCGGTGTAAAATATTTTGAATGAAAGGTGTACATCTGAACAGACAAATAGAGAAACATTTATCATAATTGAGAACTGTCTAGGGTTGTGACAGTTACCACTAGCGTTACACTAACTGTAACTGCTGAAAAGTTGACGTTCTTGGTAACGGTAATGGATAAGCCGTTACCGTACAAATAACGATAACGATCAGTTACAAGTAACGGTAACTGTTCAGTATATCTTTCAACAGTCAAATCTCTAAATATTTAGGTATCCAGGGTGAGGGTGAAAGTTCGTAGCCTCACCCTCACCCTGGATACCTAGATATTTAGAGATTTGACTGTTGAAAGATATACTGAACAGTTACCGTTACTTGTAACTGATCGTTATCGTTACTTGTACGGTAACGGCTTATGCATTACCGTTACCAAGAACGTCAACTGTTCAGCAGTTACAGTTACCGAGTACGGTGGTAACGGTAACTGGTAACTGTCACAGCCCTAGAACTGCCTTGGGAACTTGAATGAAAATGTGAGTGTACGATTAAAATTGATGTGTTAATATTCACGCAAAAGTGATATTCCTACTTACTTGTCTATGATTCAATTTATTTATCATTTCGTCACTAACTGATAGTGGACGACTAAGACCACCTTTGAATGCTGCCTCATGAAGAAGATCATTTAATTCTTTAATAGAAAAAAAGCATTTTTTGTTGAATAAAGTTAATGATTTCAATTACCACTTTAACTTACGGAGTTCGGGTGTTTGTAAATACAGATCTCGATCAACTTGAATTCGTGCTTTCTCATCATGGATTTCATAAGGTTTAAACGCTGGATAACAAACAACGGGAGCAAGAAACTGGGCACCTTGTACACTAAAAAATAAGAATAACTATAATTATAAAACATATTTACGTAGTTTACATGGTAATGAAGACACTTAAGAAATCGTACGCTCTGCGACAAAAAATCAAAAGAAAAAGAATTCAATAAGGAAAATCTTGTATTCTAATATGAGTTCTTTTCGCATCCTTTTTGTCTGATGCCCCTTGCTCAAGGAAAACTCTCTTCACTCTGATCTGGAGTACATACTAGTTTGATCTTAAACCGTCGATCGAGTAAACCATGTTTTCACGTGTTTGCGTACATCTGCATAAAATGGAAAAATGAAAACCAAATATCTGAAGTGAAAATAGATTCATAAAAGCCTACCTAAAACTGGCTCCCAATCTCTCCAAATTCTTTGTCAAACCTAATCGGCTCACATATTTTGTACTCTGAATAAAACAGAAGAAACGAATGTGATATTTAACAAACAGAAGACTGTAAGGAATTTTCCGCAAAACCTTTCTTTATCTTACAACGAATTAAATACTCAGTCATGTTCAAAATATTTTCGATTCACTCATATTGCCGCCTATGCGATGGTCTGTACCGACCGAAGGTGGGAATATGAAGGTTAAAAAGCCGTTATAACCTCTAAAAACGTGGTCTACAATGTAAATGTTATAATATTTTTGATAATAGTTTGTCATTCACTTCTTCAAATGAATAAATTTATTTTTGGAGTTTATTTTATATTTTTTTTCTCAATAAACAAATTGATTATACAGCCTGTTGAAATATAAAAGACACGATTTTCGTGCCTATACGTCATTAGAATTGTTTGTGTTTAAAGTATTACTTACTAAATTTGAATAAATTCTTAACAAATTTGTAACGCCTTGACTGTCATATGGTTCATAACGTGCTCCGGCTTTAACAACGGCTGCCACGCGACAAACAGGAGAATGATTTTCTAGTGATGCAATAACGAGACCATTGGGTAGTTTTGTCACCTAAACCGAGAAACAACTTGAAAATTCGTTAAGTTAACTGCACTTGATAACAATTAATAGCTGCTCGTTACAAAGTATTTATACAATTGAACATCAATATTTTGCTAGGTCAAGTAAATTATTCCTGTTTGTTTTCTTTCATAATCTCTTCACTTCATGAGAAACGTTTGCTTACATTAATGTTTTCTTTTGGCAAATCGACACGAGATATTCCTGTACTTTGTCGAAGCTTCGTCGCTGGTAGCGTGGAATAATGACGCTAAAACAAACAAATAATGAAAAATTAAACGCTAAAAAAACTCGGCCACAAAATTTTCTTTTCTTTCAATGCTTTATATATAGCAATATTTCGACATACCAAGGTATTGAATGAATATTTCGACATGGGTATTTCTTTATTTGTTCGTTTCCCGTTTCTTAGAACAAGGAAAACAGTTTCAATTCTTCATCTAAAAGATCGGTTAACATTAATTTACGCTTCTTCAGTTCGGAATAACAAAAGTAATATTAGTTCCTAATTATTACCTTAGATTATATATTGGACTAACAAAAAAGCACAAGCTTCTCATGTTTTATAGCGAATATCATCCAGTTTATATATAGAAAATTAAATGTGAGGGAAAAAAGAGAACGAAATCCATGTTAAAAATTCAAATGATAATCATGCTCCCTACACTAGGGTAAAGTGTGAACATCAGAATTTAGGATTTTTTGACACAGGTTTTACAACTAGAGTAAAGTTACGTTAATACGAGAGACTAATATTACGCCTAACTTTCGCTCTGAGCATGCCCTGCTCAGTAGCCTAGCACTTTTCGTTCTGCCATGAATAGATTCCGTTTCATCTTATCGAGGTGCTACTTATTTTTTAGTGGTTTATCACAGATGACTAATCATAAAGAGTTATCGGGCCTATTAATAAACGATAGAGGTCCTTCCCCGCACTATAGTACCAAACTTAGACAAAAACAATAATTATCAATACAAAACCTACCGTCCGATCGCCGACGCATGCTAGAGTCATAGAAATAAGAAAGTGTTTAAAACTAATAATATTTCGTCGCCTTTTGATTTACAAATTATGACATCAGCCTTATTTAAAACATCTTGCTCACGAAAAGGATTGATAAAAGGTGGTTCTTAGACTTGGAATTAGAGTTCATTTAGTCCCCTGCTGAGATATTAAAAAAAGAAATATGATAAGTAGGTCTATCTCACAGGAAAGGGCTTTTAAAATTTTTGAAAACACTTTCTTTTCTTATTTCTATTTTTTAGCATTTTGGTAATCCATCTGTTGTTCAAATGAAAATTGAGGCTAAGTAATTATCGGTGACGATCAGTTCAAGTCAAGAACTTATCAGAATGTATGGGAATCGGCACCCGTTCTAGTGGAGGCCGAGATCTCTTACCCCGGTAACGGCTGAAATGGGTACTCATCAAAAATCGGAAAGAGTGTGTCTCGAGTCCCATTTATTATAAACCGACGTTTTAGTAATGAGTCGTTTATGAGACGGAAAACTTTGAAAATTACTCGTCAAATCAGTGGTTTTAATATACTATGTGTTTCGGCAAAACAGAAAAGTGAATATGTCGTGCGCAGACTCAGCGAAAGTCCTGGAGGATTTGTGAAAATTTCAGAAGTTTTTGCACAAACGTGACTCTCGAAGGATTTAGTCAAAGATCCTATTGAAACCTCTCAGAACTCCTACCAAAACGGCAGACCTATTGAATTTTTTGTTTTTGCTTGACTCGTGCGGGATTTTCTACATTATTTTTAATTTTTAGTGTTCCGTGTTTTGCTTGGTGGAAAATAATGTATTAATTGTATATGCTCAAAACGCTTAGTCATTGTTAACAATTTTTATTGTTCGGTGTTATGCTTGAAGAGCCATACGTTCTTTCATGTCTTTCAAATCTTTCAATATAGAATTCTGTACGTTCAGCTTGTCTCTCACTTGAAGAGAAGAAAATAAATCGGTAGTCAAGTAATCTATAGAAGTTGACATGGTCAACATGTAAACTGTGTACCTCAGCAATAAATGGATGCAAACTTTTTTTAAACATATCAATGGTAAGAGCATCAAAAACTGCGTAACAAAATGGTTGATTTAACATTTTATGAAAAAAATTTGACCCATTCTTTGTCTGTTTGTTACGAACCCCATTCAAAGCATCCTCAGGTTTTTTTTGTTTTTAGCCTTTTATCATTTTCTTTATGTTTTTAATCAAAATCAATTAACATATTCAGAATTATATTTCAATGAAGAGAAATTATGCTTGACCTCTGGGTCATTAGAAAACGAACTCTGAAAAATCGGATTTCTACAAATCCTAACGACCTTGAAGTTCATTCCGAAAGTTTGTCAACCACTCTACTGGATAGTCAATTCTCTTCAATTTTCCGCAAAACCTTTCTTTATCTTACAACGAATTAAATACTCAGTCATGTTCAAAATATTTTCGATTCACTCATATTGCCGCCTATGCGATGGTCTGTACCGACCGAAGGTGGGAATATGAAG